TTGTATGATTAAATGGTTTGTTTCTAAATTGGAAAAGGAAACAAATAGTTTGTATGATTAAAATAGTTTGTTTCTTAATTGGAAATTACATAAATTACGAAACTGTAAATTTAATGCATTGATTAAAAAATTTACACCTTAACGTGATTATTACCTTTTATGGACAAATATTACTTTTAGTTGAATGGTAATCATTTTTTTATAAGATCAATTCCAATTTTATAAAAAAGTTCGGTATTAGAAAAGAAGTTTATATAAATAATATTTTTTATATTTTGTTTTCTTTTTAGAAATATATTAGGCATGCGAAATTTCCTTTAATTTATCATTCTAAATAAGAATAGAGTAATTTAGTAATTATGCATGCGGAATTATTCTAAAAAGGAAACAACGTAGATCTTGTTTGCAAAAGTATTCCTTTCCTTTTTTATCAGAATTAAGTAATTATGCATTCGAAATTTCTTTTAATTTATCATTCTATTATTCTTAAAAGTATTTCCTTTTAAGAATAGAGTGATTAAGTAAATAATTACCTATTTAATTAGGCATAAATAAACAGGCGTAAATTATTCCAAGTAATAATAATAATAGTAGTAGTAATAATTAGGCGTAAATAATTACCTATTTAAAAAGGAAACAAAAGATAAAAAATCTCCTGCACCGTTCCTTCTTTTTTTATCACAATCAAGTAATTAGACGAAATTGGTTAGGAAACAAATTACTCCCTTCCTTTTTTATTAGAATAGAGTGATTATGCATGCAAAATTTCCTTTAATTTGTCATTCTAAATAGGTAATATTACACAACGAATCATAGTCGTAGATCTTGTTTGTTCTTTGATATCGACGGTGCAGGAGATGAGTGCATTGGGCGGGAAAATAATTCCCCTGCTTTTAAGAATAGAGTGATTTGATAATATTTGGTCAAATAAATGATACTCCGTACATTCCTATATATAAGAAGAAAAAAAGCTAGGGGTACACCATTTGGGGTACCCCATTTGTACCACCCTCCATCTCCACCACACAAAAGCAAGAGAGGAAAAAGAATTTAAAAATGTAAAAAGAACTGGAGGGTTAAGATTGATGATATACAAATGGGGTACCCAAATGGTGTACTCCTAGCATTCCTCATATAAGAAACACAAGAGTAGAGAATTATATTCAATCCAAGTGAGAGAAGAATTCTAGTAACAATACAATAAAAAATAAAGGATTAAGGAAGGTAATTAATTATTAATAGTGAAATTTGCACTGAATAAGACTAAAACATAAATCATTTTCCAATGTAGGACTTAAACTTTTTTATTTCCTAAATAGGACTTAATAATGACTAGTGAGAAGAATAAAGTCCAAGTGATGCTGGACATTTAGTTGAATGATGACTAATAAATACTACCTCCGTCCCAGAGTATTTGTCCACTTTCATTTTTGCATATCATTCAATACACTTCTTTAATCCATTTTATCTTGTAATTTGTATATTAAAAAATTATAGAAATTATATATTAATAATCTATATGTTAAGACAAATCAAACAAGATCACACATGACTATATTTACACTACAAGAATTTGTCTCGTCTGCAACGGAAATCTGCTACAGACTAATTTCCGTAGCAGATCTGCAACGAATCAGCGACGGAGTTGAAATCCTTGAAAAAAAACATAATCTGCGACGGACCCTATTTTTCCGTCGCAAATTAGCGACGAATTATTTGTGGCTGTCGCAAATTTAAGTTGGTCAATTTTTGACCTGATAATCTGCGACGGAGGTATATATCCGTCGCCGATCCATCGCAGCTACTGAAGTGATAATCGATATTGAAATTTTCCCAGCCATTCATCTTTCACTTCAACCCTATCCCGTCTCTCTCCCGGTCAGCCGTCCTGCGAACGCCACTCCTCCGCCAGCCTTCAACGCCCTTCCTCGCCGCCGACGAACGTTCTCGCCAGCCCTCCTGCCACGCCGTCCCGCCCAGCCACGCCGTCTTCCCCAGCCGCACTGTCATCTCCAGCCGCTCCACCAGCCTTCGCCACCCGCCCACCAACCGTCGCCACCCGTCGTTGACGCCGCTACACGCCAGCCGTTTCTCTTCCCCGCCGGACATCCTCTGCATCTTTGCCTTATGTGTTTAATTTAATTTTTGGTGAAATTGAATTTCTTTGTGTGAAATTGAGTGCATTTTGGTGAAATTTACTTAAATTGTGTGTATATGAGATGAAATTGACATGAAATTGGGTAAAAATTGCATTACTTTTTGGTTAAAATTTTAATTAAAATTGTGTTAGTAAATTTGACATTTATTGTGAATTTAGGTAAACTTTAGTTGAATTTTGTGAAATTTAGTGTATAATATGTTCATATCTATAGTTAAATTAGTGTTGTTTGTGGTTTAATCAAATTGTCATTTGTTAGCCGTCTTTATTGTAGGTATGGTTTGTTGAAAAATAGAAAATGATGGTGCTGTGATTAGGTT